GTCACATTCCAGACATGAGTGTCAGCAATAAAGGTGATCTAGTATGTAGGAAGCCACAGGAATTCGATGGGAAGGCACCATCGGAAGCATATAGAGCACAATTTGAGCTCCTGGCAGAAATGAATGGATGGACAGGGGAGCAGAAAGCAGTGCCACCCAATGTCCACAAGTTGTTGCTGAGGGATCAGTTTGTAAATGCCTTGGACAATCCACAGCTGAAGATACACATAAAGCAAGCACACCCCTCTACTATGCAGGATGCAATGGCCAGAGCTCTTGAATTCAAATCCTACATTACTTCCAGTACAGAGGTACCACAGTACAGTCATCGGGATTCAAGGCCAGAAAAGGGCAGCCTTCAGAGAAGTTTGAGAGACTTTCCTGGCACTGTAACAAACCTGGGCACAAGAGAGCTCAATGCCGGCAACTTCAACACAGGAAAGATGCCACAGCAGGAAAGGCTGCTACCCAGAAAGGTTGTTGGAACTGTGGAGAGCAAGGAAATATGAGGAGCCAGTGTAACAGGAACACTACCAATAAGCCTTGGCGAAACCAGTAGTGGTTGGTGTTGAGGGACGCTCACCAACCCCATCGTGAAAGTCCCAACGATAAGTGCAAAATGGAAAGCCCACATAGTATCTACGTAACAAACGAGCAAATACATAACAGTACAATATCAGTAAGTTGAGGTACTTAATACTAGCATCCAGTTCAATGTACAATATCAGTAAGTTAAGGTACTTAATACTAGCATCCAGTACAATGTACAATATCAGTAAGTTAAGGTACTTAATACTAGCATCCAATACAACGTACAATATCAGTAAGTTAAGGTACTTAATACTAGCACCCAGTACAATGTACAATATCAGTAAGTTAAGGTACTTAATACTAGCACCCAGTACAATGTACAATATCAGTAAGTTAAGGTACTTAATACTAGCACCCAGTACAATGTATAATATCAGTAAGTTAAGGTACTTAATACTAGCACCCAGTACAATGTACAATATCAGTAAGTTAAGGTACTTAATACTAGCACCAATACAATGTACAATATCAGTAAGTTAAGGTACTTAATACTAGCACCCAGTACAATGTATAATATCAGTAAGTTAAGGTACTTAATACTAGCACCCAGTACAATGTACAATATCAGTAAGTTAAGGTACTTAATACTAGCATCCAGTACAATGTACAATATCAGTAAGTTAAGGTACTTAATACTAGCATCCAATACAATTCATTATAGTAGTAATTCCAAATACTGAATTGTTAGCACTCAATACAGTGTATAAAGCCAGAAGTTCAGGTACTGAATTCATTACCATATGTATTAGGATAGGAAACAAAATGTACTGAACTGTTAGTGTCCACCAAGAAACACGCAAGATGAAAAATGATAAAAAAGTCTCCACTGGCTTTACATATGGGTGAATCTTCTTACACAGTTAGACAGGACATTTCACCAAGATAACTTATTAGCTCAGTAAAATTATTTGTTAGACAGGACATTTCACCAACTTAACTTATCAACTCAGTAAAATTATTTGTTCTGGGGATAAAAATTTGGCTTTTGCTTCTTTTGTTAAAGATACTACATTTTTTATAGGAAAGATGTACTGGTATATAATGAGAATGTTCCAAATTCTTTAAAACAAAGCATAAACATCAGCCTCACAGTAAGTTAACTTCAACAATGCACAATAATGATAAGAGCATTACATACACTGTGATAACAACCAATTAGATAGTGTTAACCTGTACAGGCAGTCATACTAATCTCAGCAGTGGTGTGGTGAATGCACACATAGCTCTGAGACAAAAGTACTTAATTTTTATCACATTTTTAGAGTTTGAAATACTATAATTCATTAAAAGTATAGCAATTGATTGATTGTATTTATCACAAGTCCTTTTTGCATTCTAGGCTACCCTATTAATATTAATCAAAGTACATACAACTATGGTTAAAACTGATATAAGGTCAAATCAACAAAATAAACTGATATAAGGACTGAACATCCCACAATACCAATTGTAACTATGCTTATATAAGTATATTTTATTCAGTGTATAAAATTACTTGCAGTAGTAGAGTTCACAAGTTTCTCACCTACTAGCATCTGGAAGTTCTGTTTTATTTTCAATACTCTCCACAAAAACACGGAAATAATCTGGGGTGACTAGAGGTTTCAAGGAAACTAGAGCACACACTGTCTGGGAAAAGGAAGAACTAATTCATTAACAGTAATTTAGCCTTTTTCACTTCATTCTTTTTTAAATCTTATTAATAGTAATGAGGAGTTTATAATATAAATTATGCATTTTTGAACATGAAATTTTTATTAGAGAAAACCCAATGTTTTGAATACCATCAAACAAAGTAACCTAAAAAACCTAAAGAATTCTTCTGACTTCTTTACATGAACTTATGTGAATATAGATCCATAACTATATAGACTGGTAAAAACAAAACTTCTTTGCATGATACCAAGTCTTATGAAAGTTTGATAGTCTGGATCTTTGATTTTATAACTAAAATGCTCAAAAATCTAGCAAGAAACAGCTTAAGAACACCAAGAATTTTATTCATTCTGATGACAGATAAGGGATATCAGATATATCAGTATATACTGTATAAGAGTAATTAGGATGATACTACGTAATACTTATAATGAGTATATCGAAAAACCATACAGGGTAGGACAGTTAAGAAAGATTTGATAAAACTATCATCAAACTTATTGTGAAATAATATCACACAAACTACTGATCTATAGATAAATAAATAAAATAAAATAAAAAGCCAAAGTTAACTGTAACCTTACTGCTACAAAAATACAGAAAGATAATTCTACAGAAATGACATCAGGCTCTGTGGGAATGCTGTAACTTCTCTGTTCTTAGCAAGTAATCTCTGACATAACCAGAGCACATATGACAGAGCTTTCTCAGCCAGTCAAATCTGGGATTTTGTTGTGCTTCCTGGAAATACAACTTATTTTACGATGAATTATACAGTTTAGGGTAACCTTGAAAGGAAGAAATACTTGCAAACATACAGTGGATTTTGTAGAGTTAGTGAGAATACTTTTTGCTAAAAATTAGATTTTGGCCCTCAGATGTTCTAACACAAATTTTCCTGCAAACACATTGACTTCTTTGAAACCACTTATGCCAGTCATTGTAAACTCTGTGCAAATGTCAGAAGCATTATATTTGAAACTGACTTGAAGGTGCAAGATCAGAAAATCCTTAGAATATTACTAATGCAGCATGTGTGAATGTGATCATGACGTGATAGCCGTAACTGAAAATTAAGCTGTAAATGAGATCAAAGAAGGTTATGATGCAAATAAATGTCCAAAGCAACGAATATCATCAAAATATCAAATGGGTATTTTTGAGGAGGTTCAAGAAGAAGTGCCTGGTCATGAAAAAGAGGAGTGTGAGAAAGAATGATGGTGGAGGGCAATAAACAGTGTCGATGAGCAGCTTACTGTGTTTGGCTGATGAACATCACCCAAAGCATCACTGTGTAGCTCTTCACACATAGAGCTTTTGCCTCTCACACTGTAGAAAAATGCTTGGCAGATTAGAAAGTACTCATTGCTGTATGTTTATCTTACTGATGCTTTCTGGATTTGATAGGGACCATACAAACTTAGACAACTACTGTAATTTTCTCTGGTTAAGCCAGAGATCACTTATACATAGGAACATGACCCTCAAAATGTTTCTTGGATATGAATAATAAAATGGTAAATATGACCAATTGTTTTTAGAAAAATCTAACAAATTAACTTTTTTAAAACTTCATACTACTCTATTTCATGTCTGAATTAAATTCTGTCATTTTTCAGTGAAAAGAAAAAACATTAATAAAGGCAAGAAATATGAAGAAATTAATTTCACTATTAGTTTAAAACATAAAGGTGATTAACTACATTCCTCATAATAACAATTAGCAACAGTTTAAACAGAAAAGTAATCCTCCTATAAAAACAAATTTTACCTTGTTCATCAAATTACAGCTAGTTTGTTTTTATTAAAAAATTCCAATTAATCCCATAAGGAAAATACTTTTAAAAAGATCCTATGTGGGACCTACAACATACAATGTAGTCATTGTCAGCTGCAAGAGATTACAACTATAACTGTGGATATCAGCAACTACAAGAGATTACAAGCAAGGGTTGATGACAGGATAAATGTTACAAAACAAATTAATTTTCCAAAATAAAATTGTCCTATCAGACATCTAACCAATCTTGATTTGTTTCAGTATATATTTGTTGTAAAGAAAAATAAAAACGTATGTTAACAGTTACATTTACTTAAAACCTATATATATTTTTTTCAGAAAATTAGACAGGATTTAACCAACGTTAATGTAAAAAATTAACATTCACACACCTTAACAGTGACCTTAATTTCATTCATTACTAAATGCGTACAATCACTTCTCCATTCTGCCACCACATGTCCACCAAGTTTTAAAATCAATGGTTTCAATTCTTTTTTCCCGGATGAATCAACAGCTGAAGTCGTCACAACCAAAGGTTCATAGTCAACCCTGAAAAATGGAGCAATATTTTAATAAAATAATTTTTGAAACACACATACATGTATATTAAGGACACACAAAGAAACACATGTAAAATTACAAAACCTTAAGGACCCTTGAGACATGTTAGAGAGACAGTCTTTCATAAAAAATATTTCAAACACTTGAAGTTATGTTTTATTTCTTTCTCTTCCAAGTGTAACTTGCTTATCTTAATTAATTAATTTTACATTCATGTCCATTAGTATTTCAATCTTTACTTTACATACGATATTTAATACCATTACTGAAGAAAAAAGACTTTGAATTACAGATATTACTAACAAAAATGAATATTGATTAGTGAAAAATTAAACTACATGATTACCGATTTTAATAACACAAGAAACTCAATAAGATTAAATGTTATTTTTACAGACATACAATTACAGAGGATATTGATCAATCCAATACTCATCACTGAAAACTTTTTTAATTAATTGGATTTTAAGAACAAACTTTACATCAAATGAACACATTACATTATCAGATACTTATAGAAATGCTTTCTAGAACACAGTCAGTCTAAAAACCAACAGCTATAAACCACTTCAGTTTGTTAACATACAAGTAGTCCAGAAATCAACAGTTATAAACCACTTCAGTTTATTAACATACAAGTAGTCCAGAAACCAACCACTATAAACCACTTCTGTTTGTTAACATACAAGTAGTCCAGAAACCAACAACTATAAACCACTTCAGTTTGTCAACATACAAGTAGTCCAGAAACCCACAACTATAAACCACTTCAGTTTGTTAACATACAAGTAGTCCAGAAACCAACTATAAACCACTTCAGTTTGTTAACATACACGTAGTCCAGAAACCAACAACCATAAACCACTTCAGTTTGTTAACATACAAGTAGTCCAGAAACCAACAACTATAAACCACTTCAGTTTGTCAACATATAAGTAGTCCAGAAATGAAAAGCTATAAACCACTTCAGTTTGTCAACATACAAATAGTTCATAAACCAACAGCTATAAACCACTTCAGTTTGTTAACATACAAGTAGTCCAGAAATCAACAGCTATAAACCACTTGAGTTTGTTACCATACAAGTGGTCCCGAAACCAACAACTATAAACCATTTTAGTTTTTTAACACACAAGCAGTCCAGAAACTAATAGCTATAAGCCACTTCAGTTTGTTAATATACAAGTAGTCCAGAAACCAACAACTATAAACCAGTTCAGTTTGTCAACATACATGTAGTCCAGAAACAAAAAGCTATAAACCACTTCAGTTTGTTAACATACAAGTAGTCCAGAAACAAAAAGCTATAAACCACTTCAGTTTGTTAACATACAAGTAGTCCAGAAACGAAACGAATAAACCACATCAGTTTGTTAACATACATGTAGTCCAGAAACGAACAACTATAAACCATTTTAGTTTTTTAACACACAAGCAGTCCAGACAACAACAGCTATAAACCACTTCAGTTTGTCAACATACATGTAGTCCAGAAACCAATAGCTATAAACCACTTCAGTTTGTTAACATACTAGTCCAGAAACCAACAACTATAAACCACTTCAGTTTGTTAACATACTAGTCCAGAAACCAACAACTATAAACAACTTCAGTTTGTTAACATACAAGTAGTCCAGAAACCAACAGCTATAACCCACTTCAGTTTGTTAACATACAAGTAGTCCAGAAACCAACAACTATAAACCACTTCAGTTTGTTAACATACGAGTAGTCCAGAAATGAAAAGCTATAAACCACTTCAGTTTCGTTTACATACAATTAGTCCACGAAACCACCGACTATAAACCACTTCAGTTTGTTAACATAGAAGTAGTCCAGAAACCAAAAACTATAAACCACTTCAGTTTGTTAACATAAAAATAGTCCAGGCACCAACAGCTATAAACTATTTTAGTTTTTAACACACAAGCAGTCCAGAAACCAACAACTATAAACCACTTCAGTTTGTTAACATACAAGTAGTCCAGAAACCAACAGCTATAAACCACTTCAGTTTGTTAACATATAAGTAGTCCAGAAACCAACAGCTATAAGCCACTTCAGTTTGTTAAGATACAAGTAGTCCAGAAACCAACAACTATAAACCACTTCAGTTTGTTAACATACGAGTAGTCCAGAAATGAAAAGCTATAAACCACTTCAGTTTGTTTACATACAATTAGTCCAGAAACCACCGACTATAAACCACTTCAGTTTGTTAACATAGAAGTAGTCCAGAAACCAAAAACTATAAACCACTTCAGTTTGTTAACATAAAAGTAGTCCAGAAACCAACAGCTATAAACCATTTTAGTTTTTAACACACAAGCAGTCCAGAAACCAACAACTATAAACCACTTCAGTTTGTTAACATACAAGTAGTCCAGAAACCAACAGCTATAAACCATTTTAGTTTTTAACACACAA